CCCCCCCCTTCCGCATAACATGATGGCTGCAACCACCACCACCACCACCACATTGTTCAATCCACAGTTTCTTCACACGGTTCTAACTCTCTCTCCACTTTATTTTATTTTAAGATTTGTGATATGATGAACTCTATTAGGTATTATTGTTGATATATTTGAGAAAGTAACTGCTTCATGCTAATTATTTTATTGCCAATTTCACCGATTGGTTTTTCATTCTGCCTCACTTTTAATCTAGGAAAAAAAAATATTTATGCAAACTTAGAATAGTAAATTGTGCTTCATGTCATTCTGATTGCTAAATTGTTTATGCAGCATAGTAGGATTAACATATGGGCACTTAGAAGAATTAGTTATTTCAGAGGAAATTTGAAGTCTGCATTCCCTATCCACAGATCAGAATTTCATCATCAGGCTCAGTACTTTTCACACATAGCACCATTATGTGCAACCTTTAGGGAGCCAAAGGGGTTTGGACCAACTCCAAAGAAAAAGAAGAGCAAGAAGACGAAAAAGGAATATGTAGAAAATGAAGATGGCAATGAAGAAGAGGATGAAGAAGAAGAAGAAGAAGAAGCAGATAGGGGAGTTATTCCTGAAGTTGTGACCAATAGGATGATGAGCAGAATGGCATTCTCTGTAGGGCTTCCACTAGGCATTGGGCTTTTGTTTTTCCCATTCTTTTACTATCTCAAGGTTGGGTTGAAAATTGATGTACCCACTTGGGTGCCATTCATTGTGTCCTTCTTTTTCTTTGGGTGTGCTTTGTTGGGAGTGAGCTATGGGATTGTGTCCTCCAGTTGGGACCCATTGAGGGAAGGTTCCTTCTGGGGCTGGAATGAGGCCCAAAAGAATTGGCCTGTTTTTTGGCAGTCCTTTAGAGGTGGATCTAGGAAGAATTAGCCCATTCTTTTTCCATTGAATGTTTTTCTTTTCTTTGGTCCTCTTGTTTCACTGTATATTGTATCTTGCCACCATTTAGAGCTTGTTTGGTATGGATTATATAGATATCTCTATAATCCTCTTTTCTCTTGTTTGGTAATAGTAGTGAACATTATATTATTTATATCACAAAGGATTTTTTTAAAATAAACAAGATTTTGGAGAATATGATTAATTTTTTCTCTCTCTTTCATTTCACATTCATTAATTGATTATTTTAAATACAAAACTAATTTTTGTAAATTTAATGTAGAAAAAATAATTCTTCAAGGCAATTTAAACATGATTAATTATTCTAAAATGTCATTTTTCACTTATTAACAAATCGCTAAGCATATTTTTTTTCTTCATATAACTATCATTAAAATGATTTATTTTTCACAATGAATTCAAACACAATCCATTTGCGGAAATAATAATAGTAATAAATCCACTCCCTCTTTAAAATTTTAGACTATGACAATGGTTTGAGCCTGAACAGGTTTTCCCCCTCTTAAATTAGTTTGAATATAGAAATTCTGTAGCTCAGAATTTCTAGAGAATCATGTTAGATTTCATATTGGCTTAGGAATTAGAGTATTACCATATTGAATTAATTAGATTACATTTAACCCTCATACTTTTTTTTTAATAATATTTACACCAACTTTCCTTATATTGCAATTTGAGGAAATCTCAATCAATATAATTCACTTAAAATATATGATGATATTTCATACTTTTATTACATTTCTATGAATTATATATATATATATATATATATATATAT